AGTCGGGGATGGCGTGTTGTGTTTTGCTTTCACGCTGCCTCATATTGATTCTGCCTGTAAGTCACCCTGCCCACCCTGTTTCACCCTTCTCACCCTTCTCAACTTGTTCACCCTTCTCAACTTGTTCACCCTTTGTCCACTTGCACCTCTGCGCGCGCATGATGCAAATGGCAGGCCCGGGGAGATCCCCAAGTACCTGCAGCAGATGCGATCTGAGAAGCGGGCGGCGGAGGAGAAGGCGCGAAAGAAGGCAGAGGATCCAAACTGCCCCGATGGCTACCGCCGACTCGACCGGCACGCACAGCGACGTGCCATCCAACAGCTCCAGCAGATGCACACCCGCCTCTCCGACAACCTCCAGGTGTGTGTTGCATGTGTTTGCGTAGATGTGCTGCATGTGTGTGTGTGTGTGCGAGAGCGTAGGTGTGTGTGTGTGTGTGGTTGTTTCTTTGTGTGTGCGTGCATGTGCCTGTGTATGCGCTTGTGCGCGTGTATGCGCTTGTGCGCGTGCATTTGCCCACCATCCGCTTGGTCTCTTGCAACGCACTCACGTGTGTGACGATGCTTGGTTGCGTTGCAGATGCTGCCGTTTTCGCGCGACACGCTGCGCCTGCGTGAATACCGCGAAGCGCTTGAATGCGATGTTGTTGAGCTCGAAGAGGCCATTCACCACCTCCACACAAACGTGGTGCGTTGTGTGTGTGTGTGTGCTTGTGTGTGCGTCTGTGTGTGTGTGTGTGTGTGTGTGTGTGTGTGTGTGTGTGTGTGCGTGCGTCTGTGCTTGTGGTGCTTGTGTGTGCGTCTGTGTGTCTGTGCTTGTGGTGCTTGTGCGTTGTTTCCAGACTTCATCGTCGCCCCGTCTCCACCCATTCACATGCTCCAATCCAATCCAATCCAATCCAATCCAATCCAATCCAATCCAATCCAATCCAATCCAATCCACTCAGGTGTATGTGCCGGAACGGTTGTAACACACTGCAACACACCCAACAAGCAACCCAACAAGCAAGCAAGCAAGCAAGGCGCGCAACAACAAGAGCAAGCCAACACACCAATCAGTTGTTCATTAATAATGCTTCAAATCTGTGTTGTTAGTCACGCGTTACCCTTGTTCGTTACCATGATTTGATGCTGTTTTAACGTCGTTGCTGCGCGAGGCACAACGGACTTCCGCTTCACTGATGACACTCATGACTGGCAGGACCAACAACCAATCCAACAAAAAACTCACCATGCATGATGTGAGTGAGTGAGACAGGGATGTGAGACATGGATGTGAGACAACGACGAGCGCGGACCACAGCAACCACAACCACCCAGCACACCCCACACCCCATCATGCATGCGCCCGCCAGAGCCAAACCAATCACCAAATCATCAACCAATCCAATCCAATCCAATCAACGGATATGGCGCACCCCCTGCCCGGCAACGCACGTGGCAAGGGCACCCACAGCAACAAAGTTGTGATCCATGCTGATGGGCGGGCAGCCATGAGAAGCAACGAACACACCAGCAAGCAAGCAGACAAGCGACATGCTGGAGGCGTTGCATTCATCTGACCTTCCTCCTCGACAGGACCTTCTTCGTTGAAAGCACGCACAACCCACACCAAGACGAACCAAGACAATGGTGGCGCCCTGCCTGCGGTGGCCGCTCCTGCTTTTGCTGGTGAGCGGCGTGCTGACGGCAACGAGCGGCTTCGTGCGTGCTGCACCTGTGCCGCGAATCCCAGAGGGGCTGGAACGTGCGGCCAACAGCCACGAGCTTGCCCAGCAGTTTGCGGCGCTGTCCCCTGAGGCCAAGGCCCAAGTCGTCACACAGTTGGAAGGATTCGTTGTTCGCGCCACTGATCACCTTGAGCTCACGCCAGAGGGCATGGTTCTAAACGTTGACGACACCAACGCATGGGCAAACGTTGCGTCAGCCAGCGAAGAACAGCAGCAGCGGCAGCAGGAAGAGGAGCAGGCGGCGCGGCAGCGGCAGGGCGGGAAACGGTTGAGGCGGGACACTTCCATTGTCGTTGAGCGGAAGGACCGCCCCGTCCCCACGCGCTGGCACAATGGTGTGTGTGCATGTGTGTGTGTGCGTGTGTTTGTGTGTGCGCGTGTGTGTATATCTGCGTGTGTATCTGTGTGCGTGCGTGTGTGTATGTGTGTGTGTGTCTGCGTATCTGCGTGTGTATCTGCGTGTATGTGTGTGGTGACCTTCGTTCACCCTTGTTTTCACAGCGCACACACCCTCTCTCTGTCTCTCCGTCTCGCAGGCACGCCCCCCCCCACACATTCTCTCTGACGTTTTCCTCACCCATTGAACGCAACCATGTTCGAACGCAATCGTGGTGCAGGCATCCCACTGTTTCACAGCAAGCCTGGGGCAACTAACATCATCTTCCTCGACTTTGACGGCGCGGAGCTGCGGGGCGACAAAGGCTGGCGCAACAAGTCCGCACGTGCGTTTGATCCGCTCAACAACGGCTTCAAGTTCACCCGGCGCGAGCAGGCCAAGATCATCACCATATGGCAGCAGGTGGCGGAAGACTTTTCCCCCTTCAACGTGGATGTCACCACAGAGGAGCCAGCAGCGTTCACGCCCACGGTCGCCACGTGCCTCATCACCAGCAGGTTGCAGGCAGACCTGAAGACGTTCATGCCAAATCCTTTTGCTGCCGGCATCGCCTTCATCAACATCTTTGGCAAACCCTTCATGCAGGACTACTCACCAGCACTCGGTACGTGCGTGTGTGTGTGTGTGTGCGTGCGTGTGTGCGTGCGTGTGTGTGTGTGTGTGTGTGTGTGTGTGTGTGTGTGTGTGTGTGTGTGTGTGTGTGTTAAAAAAGAATGCCGTGGGCTGCAGTGTGGAGCACGTTGGGCTGAAGTGACATCTCAATGGTTAACTCTTCGCCCTGTGTCTCCACAACAATCTTGCAGTCTATTACGAGACGCTCAGTGGCGACCCAACCTTCATCGCCGACGCTTGCAGGTGTGTGTGTGCGTGCGTGCGTGCGTGCGTGCGTTTATGCATGCGTGTGTGCGTATGCATTCTGCTGTGATGATGCTTCCTTTCTCATCATCGCCGTTGATGGCTGACACGATGTACCTGTACGACATAATTGCATCACCACTGCGCATCTGTGTGTGTGTGTGTGTGTGTGTGTGTGTGTGTGTGTGTGTGTGTGTGTGTGTGTGTGCGTGCGTTTAGCCATGAGATTGGCCACAACATGGGGCTGGGACACGACCGGACTGTGGATGAACCCTACACTTTTGGAGACGTTGGCAAAGGCGGCGACGTGTCATGGGGTACGATGAAGCAGAGGGACTGTTGGTGAAGCGAAAGAGGGCAAGGTGTGTGTTTGACGGTTGTTTCCCGTGCCGCAAGAGATCATCTCACGTTCTGCCTGTGGCTCTTCCACATACACACACACACACACACACTCGCGCTCTCTCACACACTCACACGCACGCATGTACACGCTGCAGGTCCACTGATGGGGGCGCCATACCAGAGCAGTCTGGCGCAATGGTCACGCGGCGACTATGATGGAGCCGTCAACGACCAAGACGACATGGCAATCATCGGAGACAAGGTGGGATGGCGGTTGCAAAGGCATGTCGTGCAGCAGTGCAACAACTCCCAAGACCTACTTAATGCCTTGTCATCTTCCTTCCTTCCACACACACACACACATACACACATACACACATACACACATACACACATACACACATACACACATACACACACACCATACCTCACATCATGCCATGCACTGTGTCCCCCCCCCCCCCGCTCTCGATGCAGCTGGGTGTACGTGCGGACGAGGCTGGGTCAACAGCTGCCACGTGCGCGGGCCTGCCGCAGGTGACGCCCACCACATACAGCGGCGATGGTATCATCACGGGTATGGACGATGTGGACTGCTGGTGTGTACAGAGCTTCATCCCAACGCTTCAGCTGCACGCCACCGTGACGCCATGGTACAACAAGTTGTATCCTTACACGAGCGGGTCCAACCTGGATGCAAAGCTGTTCGTCATCGGACCGTCCGGGGATGTGGTTGCCAGCGCCAGCGAGCCGCTGCACACGTACGCAGCCGTCACGCTTCCATCCATCTCCCCTGGACGCTACGCAGTCTGCGTTGTTCCGGATAATGACACCATTGGCACAAGCGGGTCCACATACGGCAGCGCAGGCCGTTATTTTGTTGATGTCGTCATTCGTGAGGAGACGACAACCACAACAACCACAACAACCACGACCACAACCACCACAACCACAACCACAACCACAACCACCACGACGACGACAACAACAACGACCACCGCTGGCCAGTTGACCACGCGTGAGAGCCAAGGCGTGCACCAAACACCGCTGCCCATCACTTGCACATGTCCACAGAACACGCACATGTTCTCGGGTCCCACGGCGGTGGAGATACCGTTCAAGCGCGGGTGCAGCAAGGACGTGCTTGTGCCCGTGTGCGTGCAGCGCGAGGAAATGGCTTCGGTGGCGCTCTGGCTCACGTCGCCCACGCACACGCTCGTGCACCCTGCCCACCCCTTTGTTCCGACGAACACATACGATCAGCACTGCTTCCTCCTCCAAGTCCCCGCAGCTGATGCTGAGAGGGGCGAGAACATCATTGTTCGCGCAAACACCATTCCCAACGTCACATATCAGCTCTCCTACCCGAAGCGCATCAAGGGCTGTCGCGACGACAGCTGATTCACTTGCTTGCTTGTGTGTGTGTGTGTGTGTGTGTGTGTGTGTGTGTGTTTTGCCTTTTCCGTTTGCCTGCCAGTCTGCCGGCCTGTACCATCCCCTTCACTTCTCCGCTCTTTGTTGTTTGCCATTCCTATTCTATGCAATGCACAGCTCTGTTCTGTCGTTGTTGTATGGTATTTTCATTCATTATCATCTCTTCCACATGCCGCTTCTTGTTGCTCTGCTCGCCATGTCTGCGTGTTGTAACGCATGTAACGACCGAATGAACAGTAGTGTAACGGAACGTGTAACAACAACACATGCCAAGAAGTGGCAGACGTGAACGATGCCTGCCGTTCAGTGGCTTCATGCGCAAGGGAACAGGCAGAGGAACTACGCGAACAGTGCTGTCGTCGTTGGGCGGTTGCGATTCCCGCTGCTGTCGTCTGTTTGTGTTGATGGTTTGTCGCGCACCCAGTCGAGCACGTGTCACCATGCTCATCCCCACCACCGCCACGGTGTTACATGCACCAGCGCGGGTCAAACACGAGCGGAAAGAAGCGGCCTGCACACGGCTGACCGCGCGGCACAGCAGGGATGCCATCCATCAGCGGGCCATCGGTATTGGCTGTTGTGCCGTCGGCAAAGTAGTTGACAACAGCCGCGCGGCGCGAGCGTGGGGAGCGGTTGCCATATGAGCCGTGCACGACGAGTGGGTGGTGGAACACGGCCTCTCCCTTCTTCAGGCAGCAGTGCACGGGCTTCCAGTGCCTGCGCTCGTCTTCCGTCAACACTGCCTGAATCGAGTCCATATCGGCAAAGTCGTCTGCGGTGATGGGCAGCGGCGCGCCGTCGCGTGTCCAGTGGTGCGACCCCGGCACATACATGATGGCGCCGTTGTCTGCAGTCTGGTCCTCGAGCGCAACGTGCACTGTCAGGTGTTGCATGGGCCGTGTGCGCGTCCAGTACGAGTAGTCTTGATGCCACGCAACGTTTCCGCCATGATGCGCCGGCTACACACGCCAAAGTGAGTGAGTGAGTGAGTGAGTGAGTGAGTGAGTGAGTGAGTGAGTGAGTGAGTGAGTGAGTGAGTGAGTGAGTGAGTGAGTGAGTGAGTGAGTGAGTGAGTGAGTGAGTGAGTGAGTGAGTGAGTGAGTGAGTGAGTGAGTGAGTGAGTGAGTGAGTGAGTGAGTGAGTGAGTGAGTGAGTGAGTGAGTGAGTGAGCGCATTTGTCCCTGCTCTCTTCGACCCCTCCGCCCACGCCTCTCACGATCACGCAGACGGCACATCAAGTTATGATCCTGTGACACGCCGGACAAGCAAGAGGATGCAGTGGAACACACCTTGCAGAAGAGCTGGTCGTGCCAGAAGCGCACGGCCGAGAAGGGCGCCGAGCCGTGGCGCACGACGAGTTGGCTTGCAGGCACGGTGATGCTGGGAAGGAAGATGAGGTCGTGAAAGCCAGGGGTGATGCGCCAGTGGCCTAACGCGTGCAGAAGCACGTTGTTTGGATCCTGCGTCTGGTTCGCGTGGTACTCATGGAACAGGCCGTGCCCAGGGTGGGGGTTGCTTGGATCAGCCAAGGTGGCCAGCTCCTCCAGCAGCATGTCGCACTGCTGGCTGCTGAGCGCGGGGACGCCTCCCACGTAGCCGTTGTTGTCATAGAACCGCAGCTGCTCTGTGCTCAGCCTGTACTGCTGGATGTCATCTTGCTTCGACGGCAGCTGCTTCAAGAGGCGGCCCACGGGCTGATGGAACTCTGAGTAGTCTGTGACATCCTCTGACACCTCCGCTGCTACCCGCCCTTTCACGGCACTCTCCGTCCAGTCCTTATCTACATTGCACATGTGTGTGTGTGTGTGCGCGCGCGCGCGTGTGTGTGCATGAGCACGTGTTGTGGAGACGACAGTCAAGACGAGAGCAGTGTGCGGTCAAGCAAGGCAGCAGCTTCGCGGTTCAGCTTACTTGTTGAGAGCGTGCGCGTGTGTTGTGCAAACCCAGCTGTGCGTCGAACTGCCTGCACCACTCTTCTCATCACCGTTGTTTTGGGTCTGCGTGGAAGGACTGCCTTTGTTGTGTGGTTTCAAAGACGTTTGTTTGTATTTGGATCGCGACAACGCATGATCCAACAACAACAGGCACGACGCGCGCTATGTACAGAAGAAAGGGCCAAGAGGTTACACGTACAGACACAGGCACACACACATGCACACACAGGAACACGCATACACACGCAGACACACGGGCAGAAGGAGCGAATTAAGGGCGCGGCTCACGCCTCCTCCTCATCAAAGGCGATCATGTTCACGCGACGGAAGGCAGCGTGCATCTCGCTGTCGTTGCTCGGGTCCTGATTGAGACAATGGGACGATGGGGAGTGAGGGGCGAAGGGGCAGGGCGCTGCGTTGGGGAAGGGAACACACCACATGCACAGATGGACATGCAGATACACACTCACACAGAGACACACACAGAGACACACACGCACACACACACACACACACACACACACACACACACACACACACACACACACACACACACACACACACACACACACAGAGACACACACGCGCGCACACACACACACACATGCACTCAGAGTCACGCCACAAACCTTCTTCACAAAGCCTTGGTGGTGGGTGTGTTCATCGAGCGGCAGGGGCCGGTAAGGGGCTGCAACACGACAAACAAACAACCACAGGATGATGCGCAGGACGGTCAGCAACACGGCAACGCAAATGCAAGCAACATTCGTGACGACACGCAATACAAGCAGCAACAGCAGCAGCAACAGCATCAGCAGTGTTACGCACTGGCTTGGGCGCTGAGCTTCGACATGTCAAAGTCCCTGCTCGCAGACGCTGCATGGAGGAAGTGGGGTAGGTACAGGGGGTAACAAATTCACGTGTGAGGTTCAATACTGGTGTTGCACAAGCACCAACGTAAACAGTGCGATCTGTGTTCAGGCGTTCACACACAGACACACAGACACACGCAGACACACACACACACACACACACACACACACACACACACACACACACACACACACACACACACACACACACCAGCGGCAGTGGGGGAGGGCGACTGCGTGCTGGGGGAGCGGGGCGACTTCTTGCTGGAGACGCGATGGTAGTAGTTGCGGATGTGTTGGCGCATCAGCGGCAGCAGACGGGCAGGCGCCTGTACGCGATCACGCACGAGCACACACGCACACGCAGTTGTGTGAGTCAGAAGAAATGTGGTGTTCAAGAACAAAGCTGTGCTCAACACACATGCACACATGCATGACACGCAACAAAGCGCCAACACACATTCAGCGTCACGCATACAGAAGACAAAGCACGCTGGCTCACCGCTTGCAGTTGGATGTCCTCGGGAATGCTGGCAATATCTGGCGACGACAAAACAGCACAACAGCCCCGGCATGTGAGCACGGAGAAAGAAAAGAATAAAGCAAACACATGTCCAAACATGCACACAGAGGGATCCAGAGATCCAGAGATCCAGACAGACAGACAGACACACACACACACACACACACACACACACACACACAGCCACAAAGACACACAGACAGACAGACACCACACACAGACACACAGACAGACAGACACCACACACAGACGCACACACGGGGTACCTGCTGCGCGGCAGAGCCTGAAGAACGCGTCGAGTCCGCCGCAGAGGGTGTGGAACAGCTCGTACGAGTCGAGACAGGCCTGCGCCTCCGCTTTGGGAAGTTCAAAGAACGATTCTGAAAGGAGCGTGGCAGGGAGGTGTGGGTTGAAACACACACACTGTGAGATCAGCAAGGAAGCTCATGAAAGTTTCACACATATGCACACCCACACCCATACACACAGACGCACAAACAAACAAACAAACAAACAAACAAAACAAGGTACCTGCGAGATTTGACTGGAGGTCAGCAACCTTGTCGAGGATGGAGCGGGCGTCAACAACGAGCAGACGCGCAATGAACTGCAACATGAAGTTCGACCGGACAGCCACAAGCGACAGCTGTACATGTATGCGTGATGGCGGCGGGATTGAATGTGAGAGAAACAAAGTTGCGAGAGCATGCGGCAGTGGACTGAGCAAGACAGCAGCACCCCGCCAGACGTCCACACGACGATGTCATCGCCAGTAGCAGCAGCAGCAGCAGCAGCAGCAACAACGGAAACAACAACAGCAGCAGCACCAATAACAACAGTGAGAGCATCAGCCGGTGCAGTACCGATCGCGTGGTGACAACGAGCGCCTCCAGCACACGCAGCGCCTGAGACACGACAGATAGTTGGGGTAGGATGTGGGTGGACAGTGAGGTGAGTGTGTGTTGAAGAAACGCACATGCACAGACACAGACACAGACACAGACACAGACACACAGACACACAGACACACAGACACACACACACACACACAATACCTCCATGACGCGCTTGATGTGTGCATTGAGTTTGTCGAGGCGGCCAAGATCAATTTCGCCAGGACTGCGAAGGGGAACGCCGTGTTGCAGTGGTCGATGATGTATATGCGTGTATGTGTGTACGAGTGTATGCGTAAGCGAGGTGGACAAGACAACAGTGGGCAAGATGAACGAAAGAGCAGTTGTCGAGAGCATACACCGACAGCACAACACACACACACACATGTGCTGCGCATTCGTTTTCGCGTACATTTTGTACTTGAAGGAGCACACGTCAATCCCAACGCTGCGGCAGTGGTGTAATCTGCAAAGCACACAGGAAACCACGCAAGACGCAAGTTAGTGCGTGCGTATGTGTGACTGTGGTCGCGTGCAATCTTATGCAGGTGCGCGTAAGAGTGAGAGTGTGTTTGCAAGCAGAGCAGGGTTGCTTGCTCAGACCTGGCCATGATGTAGTTGATGTAGGCCGAGGTAAAGTCGCCCACGTTTGATTCCGTCTCTGCGAAGCACACACAGACACAGACACACACACAGACACAGACACAGACACAGACACAGATACAGACAGACAGACAGACAGACAGACAGACAGACAGACAGACACACACGTTTGGCGTTGTGTAAGCTGAGCAAAGTGGGAAGCATGACAGTTCTTGTCGCAGGCACCACCAAAGCCACCACGAATCCACAACGCGTCGGCAGTGTGATGCTGCTGTACCGCTTGGATGGAGAGGCAGCTGGTCCCCAAACACAACTTGGATGGTGCTCGCTGTGGCAAAGAAGGTCTGCACGCCGCAATTCAGAAGAAAAGGGTTAGGGGGGGGGGGGTGTTGTGTTGTCATGCACAGCTTGACATTGGGAAGAGGGCGAGGTTGCAATGCAACCGTGTGTGACTGCACTCGGGAGTGTGCTGAGGACTGTGTGTGTGTGTGTGTGTCACAGATAGACACACCACACACACACGCACACACACACGCACACACACACACACACAACCACACACACACACACACACACACACACACACACACCTGGTGTGCGCGGCCGAGGAGGTAATGGAAGACGCTTGCGCACTTGAGGAAGTGCATCATGCTGCGAGCGTTGTTGGCCCGTTGCAGGATAATGTGCACCATGCTTGGCACAGAGACCTGTGGTTGCTTCGACAGCACAACCAGCGCTGTGTGTGGTGTGTGGTGTGTGGCGTGTGCATGGTGTGAGGGAGTGACTGAGGTGTGGTGTCTGTCATTGGCATGGCATCAGCCTCGTGTCCCAAACACTAGCAACTCAGGTCAATACACACACTCACACACAACCACACACATGCACACTCACACACACACATGCACACTCACACACAACCACAATCACACACAATCACACATACACAGGCACACAGACACACAGACACAGACACAGCCACACAGACACACACACACAGACACACGCACTCACAGACACACACGACATACTCACTACGGAGGTGCTTCTGCTTGGGTGGGGTGGGGCAAGAGTCCGTGGCTTTGATGCACGCTGTGCGCGCCTTGTCTCCGAGCCATCCTGAGGCCCACTCCTTCAAGCGCCGACCTTTGGCAGGCATCTTTGTCGTCTTCACTCGTTCAGGAGCAGCTGGCAGAAAGAGATCGGAGCTGCTTGTTGGTTGCACTTGCACTTGCACTTGCACTTACTGGATGTTGCTTCGTCTTCTGGATGCGTTGTGGCTGCGGGAGTCGTGAGTGTGTGTAGTTGATGGTGTTGGAGAACGTGCGTATTGGGGTGAAATGAAGATGGTGTGAGTTGTCAGGCCTACAGGTGCTATCTTGGTTTGAATGTCTGCGCATGGCCGGTGCAAATCACAGGTTCGCACACACCCCAAGGTCAAGAATAGGCACGCACACATGCCAACTCACATCACATCCACTCGCCCTCATGCACAAGCACCCTTCTTCCCCTTGGACACGCACCACATACACACGTGCTTGTCTGATCTCCTTACACGAACAAGAATAGCGCACCTGCGTCGCCCGTGCGTGAGTGCGGCTGTGGCCGTGTGACTGCTGTGTCTGCACGCGTGCTGTGCCGCTGCTGCTGGTTGCGTGTTGCCTGGTGGCTTGCTTTTGTTGTTGTGGTTGCCGTGCTTCTTCTTCTTCTTCGCAATCAAACACACGCGCACGAACGCCAAAAACAGCACACAACGAACCACGACTTTGCTTGCACGCACAACGCACACACACACACGGCAACAACACCAGCACCTTCTTCCTGCTTTTGCTGGGCTTGCTTCTTGCTTGCTTCACTGGGCACGTGATTGTGATCGTGCAGTGATCGTGCGGTGTGATACGTGCACACACGCACGCGCGCGCACGCGGAAGACGTGCAGAAGAAAGAGGTCGCCGAGGATGCTTGTGGCGGCGACGGGCATTGCCGCCGTTGTGTGGAAGGTGCTGTGGCAGTATGCCAACTCGAGGCGGGAACGTCCGACGGCCGATTGGGGGTGGCCTGTCCTGGCGACTCGGGAGCATGCCCTTATCACGCCCTCCATCCTTCACTCCACTGTCTACTTTGGAGACAACAAACCCGTCTACGTTGTTGGCGACATTCACGGCTGCTACGATGAGTTTAAGGTTGGTGCGTGTGTGTGTGTGGCTGTGCATGTGTGCGTGTGCGTGTGTGTGTGTGGCTGTGCATGTGTGGCTGTGCATGTGCGTGTGTGTGTGTGTATGTGTGTGTGTGGCTGTGCATTTGTGTGTGTGTATGTGTGTGTGTGTGTGTGTGTGTGTGTGTGGCTGTGCATTGTGTGTGTGTGTGTGTGTGTGTGTGTGTGCACGGCTGTCTCTGTTGCCCTCTTTCTCTGTCTCTGTCTTTCTCTCTCACCCTCCATGCGCACGTGGTCTATGTTCTCTTCTTTCTTCCTCCTCTCACGACAGCGCCCGTTGTCACGTGTTGCATTTCACACATCTGCTTGTAGGAGCTGCTGGACATGCTCCCAGCAGAGTCACACGTGATCCTTGTTGGGGATGTCATTAACAAAGGGCCACAATCACTGGCATGCTTGAGATTAGCCCGCCAGCGCAAATGTCTGATGGTTTGCGGAAACCACGAGCTCGTCTGCATCTGGTAGGTTATGCAGCGCCCACCCGCTTCCATCCGCTCTTGGGCAATTCTTTCCACCTCCATTTATTGCAACCACCACCGCCACCACCAGCAGCAGTAACAGCAGCAGTCGCAGCAGCAGCAGCAGTGGCCGTGCGCTACGCAAGCCTTCGGCTTTCCTCAACTACACTGCGCTCTTCTACCATCGCTCGAGCATCTCTGTGTTAACAAGTCTGTCCCCCCCCTGCCACCGGACCCGTGCAACTGTTCTCGTGCTTCGCCCTTGTGTACGCTCTCTGCTCTGTTGCTTGGCACCAGGTACCGCCACTTGCGCCGGTTGAATCCAAGAATCCGGCCAGAGTATGCGTGGCTGGACGACATGACAGACGAGGAAGTTGAGTTCCTTCGTGAACTCCCTTACACCATCACCCTGCCAGAACTCGACAGCATCGGTGTGTGTGTGTGTGTGTGTGTGTGTGTGTGTGTGTGTGTGTGTGTGTGTGTGTGTGTGTGTGTGTGTGTGTGTGTGTGCGTGCGTGCGTGCGTGCGTGCGTGTGTGCGCAGTACACGGTGTGCACTTGCTGTGTAGCCTTTGCCTCATCTTGATGGTATTGCAGTGTCCATTGCTTGTTGGGTCTTTTCTTTCTACTGCCACATATCGACTCATCCACACACACACACACACACACACACACACACACACACACACACACACACACACACT